TTAACCACAGGAGTCCTTCTTGACGGATATATTCCTTCTCAAGTTTCACAAAGTGTTTTGGCACAAGTGTAACCATTTTCATTTTAGATGAGGAAACTGAAGCTTAGAGAAACAGAGTGACTTCTGCTAAGTGGCAGAGCCAAGATTTGAACCCAGGGCTGTCTGTCTCTAGAGCCCCATGCTTTACCACAATCCTGAGTGAAACCACAGCTCCAAACCTGAGCAGTACTTCTGGAATCTGGTATCTCCCATCTCTCTGGTATTTAAAGGGCCACTCTAGCCCTCAGGTTCCATACATAGCCCATTGACTCACATATTTCAAGTGTCAACAACTGAAAAATGATTAAGTTCAATTAGGTTCAGGATTTGTAAAAATAGGTTTTCCTTGGAAGAATTTACTCTCTCTGCCTTTATAGGCACAGATCTCAGCATGCCCCATGCAGAGAAGTGCAGGGCTTTTAAAATTAGAACATGCCAGAATCAATTTTGCTGAAGGGATCTTTAGCTCCATCAGCAGGGCTTGGAGCAGAGTAAGATGCCAGCTTGCCAAAACGATGAGCCAGCGGTGAGAAATGTTGGCAATAGCAGAGTCTACAGAATGGAGGAGGAAATTAGAATCAAGCTGCAGTGGGGCTGGGCAAAGGCATTTGGCCACAGACTAGGAAGTTGTCCAAGTGACTCTGTAACTAAAAGGACCAAAACCCACTTGAAGTAATTCAAAATGATTTTTTTTTCTTTTTTTTTTTTTTTGCCTCTCCATCTGTTACCCCTTCCTCACTTCCTAGAAGATCCCATTTTATTCAGGTAAGCATTCCTCTCACATTCAGCCTATGTGACCAGGAGAAGTTGATTTTCATACACACTTCCTTATGGTTATGAATTGATAGATCTCGATTACTCTTAGCCAATCACAGCCATCCCATGTTCCTGGCCAATGATTGGACCCAGGATCTAAGTTTAAGCCAATCTGCACAGAGCATTCTCCTGGAAACGGAAACTGGTCCAGGAATAGACACATAACTGACAGTGGGCTAGTCAGACAGAAAGAAGAGACGTACAGTCCAGGATTGCAGGGAGATGCTTTTTCTAGCTCCATGGATGGGAACAAGGAAGTATGTTGCCCCTGTTGTTGCTAGCAGCCCTCTTGTAACCCTGAGGGAAGCCAGTGTGAGATCAAAGCCAACACATTATGGAAGGAAGAGTCTAGAGAGAATTGCAGAACAATGTAGCTGGAACTCTGATCACATCACACCTGAATTCCACCTTGGCTTTGCACTTCTTGTTAAAGGAATAAATAGCTTTCTTATTGGTTAAGCCAATCTGGAATTTAATGTCTATTACATGCAGCCCAAAGCATGCTAAATTATATGAATATAGAATTGTTACGTGTAAGTTGGAGACAGAGAACCCTGAGGAACAAGAACCAA